TTTTAAACACAAATTTGTCTTTTTTTTGGCAAGACAGAGCGGCGTGAGAAGCTAAACATGCCACATGTCCTGTAGGATGTGACGATGCAACGGGCACGAGGATGCTGATGCGGTGGAAGTTAACAGTGAGAGTGGCTGTGGGATACTGGGACCCAGAGTTGTTCTGTGATTAATGGTAGGGGACGCGCCCCACTAATTGTGGTTCCTGACACAGGCACACGTCCCTAGACAATGCAGGACAGGGCTGGAGCAGGGTGCCATGCTCAATCACCTTCCAGCGGAAAAGCCCGAGTGCTGCAGCGAGGGTTTCCAAGCAAGGGGAGGTCACAGGATATCTGGTGATGACAGGAAAGGAGACCTCTGCAGTGACTGGAGTGTCTAACCATCTCCTCAATGGAGGAAAGTGTTGGAATGCCCATGGTTTAGCAGAGAGAATGAACGGGTGCCAAATGAGAGCACATCGCCGAAACAAGGGAGGCAGAGCGTCCTGAACTGGCTGGGGAAGATTTACTTGGCCTTACTTTATCCTCAATAGATTATCCTCATGGGATTTGCAATAAGACTGCTTGTGGTCTGGCAAACTACATGCACCTGTTGCAGCAGTATTGAATCATTAGAAGTCCATTGTGTAATGTTCATTTAAATGCAATCAAACAAGATATGCATGTAGACTTAATTTGAACAAAAATAACGTTTTTTTTTTCAATGTGTTGTAAAATTCACAGCTGCAAGGTCTAATTCTGTGAAGTTGAATATACACCACTTTTGATATCCTATCATTTTGCAACATCTGTGAATATTTTACACCCCACCAAAATGCAAATATATTCTTTCACCTGCCGACATCTTTTGAGGGTGAGGACAGATGGAAGTCATGAATTGGCTGAAGCGAGGGACTGTAGACATTTAGGTCTATTAGGAAATCCCCATATAGGGGGTGGAAGCCAGGCTGTTGTCATGTTGTTTCGATCAGGAGCCACTGCAATGTCACAGTTCTCAGAAAGACAATCTCTTCTGTGGTTCATTTTAGCACTATTTCAATTCATGGAATTAGAGAGTCATTTCAGCATGTATTTTCAAGAATGTGTAAAGTTTTACATATAGCGTTAGGCTAAGTGTGACACCATTTCTTAATGACACCTTGGTCTATCCGCAGCTCTGCTGTCCTGGGTCCAAATCATTCAGACAGAGCCCCCCTTAGTCCCTCTCTGGCCCCCTAGGCCCCCAGGCCCCTGTGAGCTTCCCACAAAAAGTCCACAATGCTATTCAAACAATAGGGCAAGGGACAAAGAGCACATTTACACAAGTGGAGCTTTCTTTGAAAGCAAAAAGGCACTATTTGGAAGATTTCCAAACCCTCCCCCCCAAAATAAAAAAATAAAAAAAACACAGATCCCCTTTGGCCTCTCCACATCCCACCTCACAATTCCCTAGCTTTACAAAAAAAAGTTTGCCATTCCAGTGATGGAGACGTGGGATCCAAATATACTATACCAAGCCCAATCCCACCCGCCAGTCCACAAGCACCCCCAATTTAGTCAAACCCCCTCTTTAGAGGACAAAAGGCCTTTAGAGGCTGAGTGTATGTGAGGGCTCTGGTGGATACCATAGTGCCTTAAAGACCGTGGAGGCCTCTAAGAGACATTTCTTTTACTCCCAATATCCCTCCATTTCTCTTTCCTTCTCTCTATCTTTTCCTCTTTATTTCTTAGTCTTTCTGTCGCGGAGTGAAAGGTTCAGCAAGGGGTAGAAAGAGTTAGGACAGAGGGAGGAGGGAGAAAGTAAGGGGGTGGTGAGGGTGTGGAGGGTGCTCTATGTCAACATTGTGGTATTTTCCCAAAGATGCATATCGCCTCTATACAAATAGGAGATGTATTTATAGGAGTACATACAAAGCTGCGTGAGTGGAGAGTGCTTGGCTGAGCTTTCTGGCCATGGCCCCCATGGCTCCATGGACGATCTTCATGGCTAGTGAAATTGTTATTCTTTAGATGCACGTTGGCTGGGAAACACGCAAGTTCTCAGGCGACCACACAGTATTCTCCTTCCCAATATGGCTGCCACGCAGAGGAGCCCATTGAAGGAAAAGGTCCAGCATCATACATCTTGACTTGAGCCAATATCCCAAGGCATCTCTGCAGCTATGCCCTGCATGGTATGTGGCCAGTCAGTGGCCATTGTTGGGAAAACAGGGGTATCTGGCTCCTGTTATGTGCACCGAATTATTAATTCTGAAATTATTGCTGCGTTAAGAGCCATTACAACAACTGATGAGTACTCTGGCAAGAAATGGGGCAACAGGAGTTTTAACATTTCAGAGTGAAAAGTACCAAAACAGTCAACAGCAGAAACCTGTACGCACAAGCCCGCTCCCTCCTATAGAGAAAGGTCAGCCAAACCAGACAGGCAAGTAGTGTGTCACACCACGGGAAGAGTCCACTGGCACACACCACTGTGGTGACTCTCTAAGGAAATTTGGCACCTTGGCATGAGGGAACACAAAGCACAAAGTGTAGCCCCTAGATTCCCTCAGCAATAATGAAGCACTTGAAGCTGTTTTTTTTTTTTTTTATCTGTAAGCAATTACTGAAACCACTTCTGAAAAAAGCATTCCATTTGATCTATGAAACTGCTCTTTTGAAATATACCAGTCAAACCAGTGTGCTGCTCACCTATTGTGCTTTTGTACAGAATGTCCTGCGTCTAAAAGAGAGGTAACAGCCTTTATGGATGCATAAAAGTAAGGTCAAGTTTAGCCTCTTTGTAAATATTTGATTTAAAAGCCATACAGAAAAAAAAACCTATGAACACTTTGACTTTTTCTTGTACAGGTTCAGTCTCAGAAACTTTCCAGTTTTGCTTTTACAGCGAGTATTTGTGATCATCTTTTGTTCTCCAGCTGGGTCTTCTCTGCATACACAGACACTCCCAAGTGGCATGACAGGCTTTCACATAAGCAGTCTCTGCTGTTTGCTATTGCTGCAACATCATGCATCCCACACACAACAGGCTGTGGAACCCTGCACCACAGGCAGCGAGTACAGCAGCAAGCACAAACACACCTGAATAACACAGGTAGAGTCCTGCAGGGAGCTCCGGTCTGTGTGTGCAGTGCTGCAGCTTGATCACCAGCCCTGTTAGGTAGTATTGACGTCTCCACCTCAGAGCTGGCACACCGGGGAGTTATTGATTAGCATTAAGCATCCATGCAGATGGCCAATAAAGAGCAGGTGAGCCAAAGAGGGTCTGGGGAGTGGGGAAGGGGAAGTGTGTGTAAATGTGAGTATGCTGAAGCTGATGGGGAGGAGAAATGAGGACTTAAAAGCAATTTTGTTTTTAATTAATGTTTGCAATTTGTTTTGATATTTTGCAATGTTAAATTTGTTGTTATCAAAGTCATAATGATAGCCATTTTTTATTTTTCAGAATTGCAAAGCAGAGCACGAAAGGGTGCAAATGGAATTAAGATCTCTGTTTTGAAATTCTACTGCAGCCTTTTTTTTGTACGTAGTATGCTTTGGGCTTTAAAATTACTGAACTTCCTGCAGGCTTGTCAGGTATTGTGCATCAGTCAAAACTTCCCCGTCAGTCTGTCTCTTGGAATTTGTAGTTGACAACCACACTCCTACGGGTATGCACACAAGATTCTTCAGTATTAAACATTCCTTGAAGACCTGTGCGGGATATTGTACAAAGAATACTGAGGACTATTTGGTGTTTGATCTTGGCACTGACATATTTCTAAAGAGCTTGAAACTTCAACAAAAGAATCACAAAAGCCACCTTTAACGTCATATTTATTGTTATTTAGTTACTCAATAAAACATATACAGATATATACAATATGCAGGAAAACAGACGACTGCACTTTACATATTATTAAAAAAAGAAAACAAAAAACGAAAAATCCATTTGTAAATTGCCGTCACAGTCCTCCATCTATTGTTTGAGAAATTCAAAATCAACAGAAGCTTTACTTAAAGATTACAAGATTGCCTAACACACAGCAAATTTTCTCTTATTATACATGTGCAATACCAATAATCTTTTTTTTCAATTTCCTTATTAAACAAACCCTTCACCTCCTTTTTTAAGTTCCCATTGGCTGAATTGTATACAAGCGGCTGAGCTCACAAGATGAAGAGAAAGGTAAGAGAATAGAAAGACCGGGAAGGGAAAGACATTCTCAGCAATGCAAACAAAACAAAAATACAACAGGTCTTATGTCTGAGAGCAGCAAAAAATAAAGGTCAAAAATTGCTGTGACAGATTTAGAAAAAAAAATATGTTAACAAGAAAACTGCTGATTTACATTCATGCATAATCACTCCTGCGTTCCGATTTCTGCTTCTTGTCTAATGATCTATCAGGCCCTATCTAACTGTAGGGTAGAAAAACCCTCTTTTGTATTCAGACTTTGAATTAAGGTGGTAGAATTCTGCCAACAGATGTTAAAACTGCAATTGGAAAAAGAATGAACAGATGACAGATGTGTAGCCATAAATGAGGTGAGAGAAGGAAGACTGCAATAAGCAAGATATTAAAACTCATAGGGTAGAGGTCTCATCACTATTCTAAACATTGGTATACAATAAAAGCCAATGACCACTGGTAACTCTCCTGCTTTTGTGTTATCCTCCCTAAACATTTTTTTATTTTATTTTTTCTTCAAGAAAGTAAATAAAATTGAAAAAAAATATTTGAGGTTTTTCCAGGAGTCGGGCCCAAGTTGTCCAGCCATGTATGAGTTTTTCTTACATGTTACTGGAAGTATCAGAAAAATATGGTTTTGCGTGTGCGTGTGCGTGTGTGTGTGTGTCGGTGTGTGTGTTTAAGTCTGTGTGTAACTGTGTTCATGATTGCATTTATGAGTGTAAATGTCTCTCTCTTTCTCACAGGAACAGGAAACAGTTTTTTCTTTAACAAATTATCCTCCTCATCCTCATTAGCATTTTAGTCTCTGAGGCTGTCCTTTCTGATTCTCTGTCCTTGATCCTCGTTCAAGTTAGTGCCGCCACAAATGTCCCAAACCGGTTTGAGATATCAGAGTGGAGAGAGCGCCACGAGGAGACTGGCCCCCCTCGGCCCTTACTGTCCCCCAGCTCGTCAGTGCAGTGGACAGAGAGGCACTGTAGGTGGTTCCCCCCACTGCTCCCACCTCCTCCAGCCCCGGGGGCCGCAGTTCCAGCCTTACTCTGGGAGTGCTCTGATTCTAAAGACAAGGGAAGAAAGGAAAGAGGTTCATTAAAATTGCGTAAAAAATGGAAAACAACATCAAGTAACTGGCATTCTGTAAGACAGATTAATCATTTAAAATACACACGTTTAATTAAACCAGTGTCATTTTCACATCCCACTCTAAATCTGCACTGTGAAATTAATTCAACACGATTCCACCCCCCTACCAATAAGACCCAAATAGGCGTCTGTAAGGAATGCTTATTCTCCTCACAGTCCACCTCTTCGTTGCCTGATATAAATAAGCGAAAACACACACAAACAGACATGCGTTCATTTGATCCTAGCCAGGCACGCTAATCTGGAATGCTCCAGCACGGCCCATCGCTGGGCTAAAGGTCATTTAAAAAAGTGCCCTTTAACCCTCTCGGTCCAATTTACTGCCATAATGACCATGACACAGTATCGACCCTGTGTCACCGAGGTGTCTTTTAAATGTTTGTCACTGGAAAATCCATACACAGGTTAATAAGATATAATATGGAATATGAGACATAAATATAGGCACAAAGACTTGATGCTGATGCCTAAGGTGCATGTGTCACATATATAAAAAACAGGTTGTTTAATGAAAAGAAATTACCCAGGGAGAAAACTGTCAGAGGCAGAAAGTGCCAGGATAAACTATATCAATGCTGCGTCCCAACACAGACTACAGAGTGTGCAAAAGGAAAAGTCTGAAAAACTTTTAAAAAGGACACGGAAAATGAAAAGAAGGGGGAAGAGAGACACACATCAAGGAAAGAAGAAGTAGTGCTAGGGCTATGTGTTATGACACCGGTGCTGCATCCTGTGCTTTGGGTTTTGCCTCCAAGCAAGCTCTGAGCACAGAAGATAAAATGTGTGAAGATGTTAGGAATCCTTCATTTACATCAATCCGATTAATCTCCCATCCCCTTAGCACACAAAATGCATCATGCCTTGCTCCTTGTGGTTGGCTGAAACAAATCAGAACAGCCCCATGAAGACAAAAAGCTTTGAGGTACAGGGACAAGTAAGTGTCTGAGTGTAGAGACAGGTGGAAAACAGCTCTGACAAGCTGAGTTACATGTGTCAGAGAGGGGGGGGGGGGGGGTGATAGACAACAGCCTGGGCACAGAAGCTCTACATCACAACACTTTGGTCTGGGTATTGCTCACCTAAGGGAAGAGAGAAACATCCCACAAAGCTCCATGCATGAAATATCCACAACCCTATTTGCCATATATGACTAAGGCTTGAAACTAAGTTTTTACCGTGTTTTTCTCACTCTTGACATACGACTTTTTCCCTGTTTTCATAAGACTTGCCGCAGATACAGTTTAATCAAAATGCAGCCAAAAAAGTGATTGTTAATCCAGGCTAGTGAAGACCAAGGAACTGGAACAACAAGGAAAGGCAGACACACATTAAGGCTGGTTTACTCCCCCCCCCACCCCCCCCCCACCCCAGCCAGTCTGGGCTGTGACCACTGAAATGGAAAAGTGGGGGGATATGGTGAAAGGTCAAGCAGTCAAGACTCCTGTTGTTCTCCATTTCATCTGCCTCTTTTGACTGCTGGCTTCAGAAAATATTCCCTCCGTCTTCCTACCTAGAACCAGGGAGCGGATTTAAGCGGGGGCTTTCGGTGTGGTGGGTGAGGGGGGGGGGGGGGATATGCAGCAGTGTTGGTGGCGGCTGTGACAAGATCTCACATTTGCCAGAGGGTACAGTTATACACCTCAGCATGGCTGATCCCCACCCCCTGCCAGTTGCACCTCCTCCCCCACTCCCCCTTCCCAGCGCTGTGCCCTGGAGCACCCGCCGGCAGCTCATGCTAGCTGGGCACAGCAGGGTCCGCACCGGCCTGAATAGGCAGCCAAGCGTTCCCCTGGCTCACTGCTGACACAAAGCAAACTGACAACACACACAGCCAAAAACACCCAACACACCAACCCACCACTGCCGCCGCTGCCACACTCACACCAGCCCTCAGCTGCTGCTCACACACACACACACAAACCCGATTACATATGGATGTGCATGCAGACACACACACACAAACACACACACACACACATACGAGTCAAACCTCAGCCACACACGGGACTCGACTTCCATGTAAAACAGCGAGATTCACATTTCTCTATCATCTTAAAATGATATCTGTATTTTTTGTGGTTGTGGACACTCGCAATTTGCTGCAACTAAATAATCTTACTGGCATAAGACCATACAAAGTCTGGCCATGCTTCACACGCCAAGAGGTTTAAGATTTAAATCTGTAGCAGACACAGCACATGCATATGGCATAAGACTAAGTTTCAATGATTGATGTTTGTTACAATACATTATTTTCTCTTAGGGGTAAATGTTAAATCTATGTCTTGTAAAACAAGCTCAGTGTTGCACCACAAAACGGCGTATCGCTCAGTGTTACTTGGTAGCCGGCAGGATTCAAGGTGCGTAAATTTTATGGAGAAAATCAGAACAAGGCACTTAAACTGTCTGCATTATCCATGCCACTAGATTTGTTCAAAAGTGTAAACGACAGTGTGAAATTTTAAATCACACAAGTCGAAATATCAAATCGCCATGAAATCTTACAAGGGGATTTATTTTTTTCAACAAGATCTATCTGGTTATGGTTGTTCACCGACATAAGTAGAAATCATATCCATGGTAATATCTCAGTAATAGCCCGATCATTGGACGGCAACACGGCCTCAGCTTCAAACCAGAAACAGAGAACATATGCAAACGGCTGCACAGCAAGCCCTCTTGCCGAGCCACAAATACACCTTAATATCCTTAAAAACATTACAGCCACAAAAGATTACCAAAGACGTCTTAAATAAACGCTGAATTTAAAGTGAAGCATTTTCATCACCGCATCCCCCCACCCCAAGTGTCATATATTTTTATTTGGCGCCTGTTGATGAAGTGCGTGCACACACACGCACACACACACACACACGCATGCATGTGTGTGTGTGTGTGTGTGCAGCAGCAGGGTTGTGAAGCTGTTTCACAGACACAGCCAGAAACGATTTACAGAGATGAGTCGAGCCTGAATGCCATGAAGGCAGGGAGCACGGCGCACAGCTCCGCTTGTCTGGATGACACCAATGTGTCTGGGAGCTGACGGCCTGACACGGGTTTACATGTCATACCGCACACACTCAACACACCCGGAGCAACACAGGAAGGTAAACAAAGGCGACTCTGAGACAGGGTTTCCAACAAGTTCAATAATAAGTGTTACGGCGGGCAATCCATTTTTAAATGAATCTTAAAAACAGAGCAGAGTTTAAAAGAATCTCCAAAAACCTTTCAGGCTGTCGTGGATCCAGCTAAGGAGAGTTGTTGTTTTTTTTTTCAGATAAGTGTAGCAAAAAAAAAGAGGCTGAAGTGAATGAGGGAAGAAGAAAATAAAATGTGCGTCATAGGGTTTGAGTTTACAAAGCTCTTTTTTGGTGCGACTCCTCCGTCACACTGATTTCCCAGGCCCCGGCGTCTCATGTGGCCAGCCTGTGCCCTTTCTATCCCAAGCCCTATACTTCCATGACGACACTTCACCTTTAACCTTCTGCTCCTGGGGGCACGACCCCATCCTCTCTGAACACAAACCAGACCAATCAGATTGTGCCGCTTTCTGACAAAAACACCCAAAGGCCTTCACTCCTATGACAGTGTGTGACATCAGGTCAGATTCCTTTCGCATAACAACTCCTGCTCCGGTCTTGGGAGAGGACTCGGCTTTGTCAGCACAAAAACACCCGTTACAATCCGGAGAGAGAAGTTTCGGATTTTGAGAAAGGACGATGAGACAAGGTTTGGCGGGACACGACAAGAGACAATCCTTTGGGCTGTCAGAAATTATGGGCGGAGCAAGGCCGCTGACAAATACCATTCAGAAACTATTCATATTCCTTAAGTGCAGGTATGTTCAGAATAAACTTAATGAGGTACATACTGTCGCTGTATTGTCCCAGGTACCCATGCCCCGGCGTAGTTGGGGGCATGTGAGGCTCCCCTGCAACCCCACCCCCTCAACTCCTCCAAACTGCCGTTGCATGACCTTTCCCTCAGAGCAGAGAGGATATCTGGAGGGAGCAGGGGGCACATTTCTCAGGCAAGGGCACAAGGGTTATTTTGGTTTGAATTTCCTCTCTGTTCTCTGCCCTGAAACATGAAGGAAAAAAAAAAGAAGAAAAACTTGCCCAGGCAGGCTCTGCCCCCAGCAGTTGTTACCTTCTCTCCAAAAACACACACATTCCCATCCCCTCAAACTCATCCCCTCACACACACACACACACACACACACAGCCCTATAGCCACAAAAAGTGCTTAGGAAACCAGACACAAATCAGAACATGGGAAGTGATTTAGTGCCTCCAACATAATTCACAACCATGTCCAGGACCTGTCCAGCATGTCATCCAAGTCAGTGACATATTGATCTACTTCACTGTCTCTATTTTGTTTCCGCGCAGTGCAATAAGTTAGAGTTTTTTTTCTGCCTGAATGCAATTAGAAAAAACCCACAGAGGACATTTTGAGTTTAAGTTCTGCACGACGGAGGCTTTTTATAAAAAATAACAACATTAATAGGCGTCATTTTGTGAACTCCTGATTGCAAAGAAAATGTACTAAATTTAAAAACATGAATTTATGTAATTAAAAGCATCAAACTGAAATGTTTTCGCATTTATTATCTGAAAATTAGTTACACTTTAAATTGGATCTTTTGAAAAAACAGAGATAAATATGTGCTTTCAGCCCTGTCACTCAGACAATAAAAAACATAACAAATTTAGTGTGACATGAAAAAAAAGTTCTCAGTTGAAATCTTGACTCCTCAAAAAATGCAAATGGCAGCTATTACCCATTCGCTCACCTCATGTGCAAAATTACAGATGTTCCCTGAAAAAACAACTTTCTATCTCTTGTACCTTCTCTTGTACGCCATCAGTCTCTATTTCTGTCTCTCAGGAGAAACAGCTCCTGTGTCAT